AGGAGGAGGAAGAGGAGGAGGAGGAGGAAGAAGAGAACAGAAGAAGAACAACCAAAAAACTAGAAACTGTTCACACTCATATGAAAAAAAGAACAATCAAGAGAAAACAAAACACAAACAAAAACCAGAAATAGAGAGGAAAAAAAAGAAGAAAACAAGAAAAATATATCCATTTTAAAGCGTGTCTCTACTGTCACTGGTAGACAACGTGGACAGAGTCCAGATCTGAGTTGATTAATCCCAGCAATCCAAGTGTAGCTTTATGGCAGGGTAGTTGATAATCCTAGTAAACCTGTACCTTTAGTTCTACTGAAGTTCAGGCTGGTTTCTGGCTGTGAGGCTGGAACTAGATTTTGAATCTGCAACAGTCTGTATGCCTCCTGCTGGCTTGAACTGAGCTCCTGGCAGGGTTTAACTCAGCTCCCTGCCCTCCTGCTGACTTGACTTCAGCAGCTTACCATGACACTTACAGTGACACCGGGAGCTTCCAGATGGATCTGGCCCACAGCTGTTCTGAGTTCTGAGCTCAGTTGGCCCCTCTTCAAGATGGCTACTGGCCAATCACCTTCTCTGGGAGATGTCTGAACCCAAATAACTGACCAGCCACTGCAGTCCACTTTGTCTATTGCTGTTTTCCACTGAACAGAACTGCATTTCTCTGTGGAGGCCTCTGGGGTCACCAGTAGTCATTGTGTATCAGTATGTTTGAACTGCCTCTCCTATGCAGTGAGTCAGGGATCAGGGAGAATGTACCACCTGTCACCTTGCTATTCTTTGTTGAAGTCTCTCTGTTCACTCCCCCCATGGGCTTTAATTCTCACTTCAGATCCTTGCTGGATCCTGGGGACCCACTTCCCTCCTTCTCTTCCTCACATGGCTGCATTCCAGTGTCAGGACATCAAACCCCGGAGTGACTCTTTCTTTGCTGGTCACCACTCTACCATCTTCCCAGAAGTCAAAGATAGATCATTCCCCCAAAGTTTTTTGATTCATACTTGGTGAAATCCATGAATGTTGAAAGTCTTTTTTTTTTTTTTTTTTTTTTTTTTTTTTTGAGACAGGATGTCACTTTGCAATCCAAATGATTCCTGGAACTTAATTTAATAGTCTAGGCTGACACTGAACTTATCCTCTTGCCTAACACAGTCTCCTGAGTGCTGGGAATGCAGTCATGCATCACCATGCCTGGTGTTTTTGTGTTATTGTCTTTTGTGCTGGTGACTAAGCCTAGAACTTGAGCCTACTAACTCCCCCAGCCCTGCACTTTATTCAACTGGCATACTTAGCATGATACTGATACATTTCATATTCCAATAACCTCCTGAGGCGGAATTTTTAAAAATTACTTTTTGTTTTGTTTTGTTTGAGACAGGATCTTTCTATGTAGCTCAAGCTGGCATTGAACTCATTATACTCATTATATGCCTCAAAATCATGGTGATGATCCTTCTGCTGCAGTCTCCCAGGTACAGGGATTACAAACCAGTAAGTGTGTAAAGTGTTTTGTGAGTTCCCTGAGCGGCTCTAGAAAATGAACTGAATTCAGGGAGTTGTGGGATCCCTGTCAATCAGAAGACCCACAACCCGGGGTTTGCAATTTGCATCTAAAGCAGGGAAGGGCAGTCTTGGGGTCTGAGTCTGCACCCTGTAGGATTTCCAGGTAGATAATTTCAGAGTTGGACTGGATCAATCTGTCTAGAGAATTGATTGGATAGATGGTGGTGGGGAGAAATTCTCACACTTCTTGGTGACCAGAGGCTACAGGAGTCTTCTAAATTGTGTTGGAGTGCAAGAGAAGCATACTTTGTATCTTCTATATTGTCAAAGGAGTTGTCATAGTTTAGATTTGAAATGTCCCCCAAGGCTTGTGTGCTGAAGGCTTGGTTGCCAGATGATGGGCGTTTGGGAAATGATTGACTTATGAGGGCTAAAACTCCACCAAGTTGATTGGCTGAGTGATGAGATTATAATTTGATGGTGTTATTGTGAGAGAATGGAAACAAGAGGTGGGTCCTTATTGAAGGGAGTTAATCTTGGGGACTAGATCTGGTCCCCAGCCCCTTCCTCTCTGCCTCTTCACTACCATGAGATAAGCAGGTTTCCTCTGCTATGCTCCTCCTCCACAGGGTGCTTCTGCCTCACAACAGGCCTAAAAGCAATGAAGTTGGCCAATCATGGGCTGAAACCTCTGAAACCGTGAATAAATCTTTCCCCTGTTGTTTTTCTCAGGAATTTGGTAACAGAGTTGAAAAGCTGACACAGGGGCCAGGAGTGTTTTGTTTGTCACTGTTTTAGAAGGGGAAGATTACAGCATACTGATAGAATAATCCAGTGATACTCATGGTTCAGCAAACAGATAGACCTTGAGATAGTAAATGGATGTAGAATCCAGGGCATGAAAGAGGGATTTGTCTTTTTTTTGGTACTGGGGATTGAACTCAGGTCCTTGTGCTTGTGAGGCAAATGGCAGAACCACTAAGCTAAATTCCCGGCCTGAGGGATTTGTCTTTATTTATTTAATTAATTAATTTATTTTTGAGATAGGGTCTCACTGTGTAGTTGAGACTGACCTAGAACTCATTATGTAGCCTAGGCTGGTCTCGAACTCACAGTGATCCTCCTGCCTCAGCCTCCTGAGTGCTGGGATTACAAATGTGTGCCACCATGCCCAGCTGAATTTGTCTTTAACAAGAGTAAAGACACCTTTGTTGTAACAGGGCTAAGAACAGAACACAGACACTTGAAGGAAGTTTATCTGGTAGCAAAGTAGTATGTTGGAGGTAACAAGTAAGTTTACTCTTGAAAGTTTCTTTTTTCTCAGTGGAGTATAAATGAGGTGACCAGTGGAGAGTAAGGGGGCCTGTATGGGAGATGCTAAAGTCTGAGGGGGGGTAGAATATGAAACAGACATCTCTGAGAGACTTACTAGGGATTCTTGGATTGAAGGTTTGTGGTCATTTGTTTAAAATACAGTAAGTCACCAACCCTCTCTCCTGGTTACCAAGCCTTTCTTAGTTCTTCATTTGCTATTGTGGTCCAGTGAGATAGAAGGCTAGGAACTATTTAAAAAACATTATCTATCTGCTGGTCTGTCTGTCTGTCTGTCTGTCTGTCTGTCTAGCATCTATTACAGGATAATGGGAGCAGGGTTTTCTGCTCCTGTTTTTCTGGCCACTTACCCTGTGTCCCTTTCTCATTCTTTCTTCTCTTAAATGTTGGCTCTCTGTAGGCTTTAGCCCCTACTAGATTTCCTTTCTACCTACTTTTTTCTCCATGGATATCTCTCATTCTCATGGCCTCAATTAATCTCTATGCACATGGCACTCCAAACATTGTCCGTATTCCAGGTCTCTCTTCTGAGCTCCAGACTCAGTATCTCTTTACTGGCGATCTCTGTTGGCATGTCAAGCTGGTTAAAATCCAACATGTCAAAAATTGAACTCCCAATCTAGTCCTTAAATCTCCCCCCGGAGTCTCTGTGAGCAGCATCCCCATCCACTGGATTAGCAAAGCAGGAACCACAGCATGAGCATGACCTCTGTTGCTTCCTCTCTTTCACCATCTTGACCTTTTTCAGGCCAATCACATCTCTTGCCAGACCTCTGAGCCCCTCCAGCCTGGTCTTTCTGTTTTTGGTATTGTCTTGCCTGTCCCAACTCTCAAACTTCATGCCATATAACAAACTATGCACATGCTGCACACAGTGAAACTTTGTTTCAGTGTAGTCTCAACTTCCAACTCATCAGGTTTATATCTTCCATCCTAAGCTCTTGGGGACACTGCCTCATAGTTATCCTTCTCCCTGTCATAATGAAGACTCCTTTCCACTGGACTCTTCATGTTTCTCGATCTCCTTCTGACCCATTCTCCCAGGGGCCCTCATATTTTCTATGGCCTCTATCTCCAGTCCGCAGGCATCCAACTCTACTCAATCTAGGATGCAGACAGAGCCAAAAGCTTAGGGTAACTGCAGGGAGTTCAGATCCCATGGGAAGCGGACTTTTAAAAAAGAACACTGGAACTTGCTTATGACAGCTAACATCTTCTCACTGTCCCAAGGACAAATTCAAGTTTTTAAACATAGCTTATTGCTTTCTTTCCTTTTTTCCTCTTCTTCATTTTTCCTTTCTCCCCTCCCTCCTTTTCCCTCTCTCCTTTTTTTTCTTTTATCTCCTCCCCCCTTTCCTTTCCAGCTTCAGGTCCTGATAGTGTCATCAAGAAATTCCTGTTTGCCAAGTATACAGCTGTTTTCTTGCATATGGATTTTAGGATATGGAGGCATCTCTACTAGGAACACACTTCCCAGTCCTTCTTTACATACAAGTGGGAATTGACTTTTGTAGAATCTTTCCCTATAATCCACTCCCACCCCAGCACATCAGCTGTGCCTGATGCCCTCACCATTCCTTGCCACTCTGTGGTAGCCCTTCCCACCCTGGGTTGACTTTTCTTTGCCTACCTTCCTCTGCTGGTCTCAGGCTGTCAGTGGATGAGAGCCCAACTTCTCATTTTCCCAGGTTCCTTCTAGGTAAAATGCAGGCACATTACTTTCAGCATTTGTTCATACATGTTATAACAGTCCATTCTATTTTCTTAAAAAAAGTTTTTTTCCTCAGTATATCCAGAACTCGCCCCTTATATTTTCCACTGAGTTTAGGTTTAGGAAGTGCTAATTTTGAAGGGGACTTAAAGGCCAAAGTGGGGAGCCCCAAAGACTCAACCAGAAGCTTCACAGATGACTCTTAATTTGCATATTGGAATGGAGTGGGGAACAGTGCCCCCTGTGACATCTTAGGGCAGAAGTTTGTCTTGGGTTGGGGATTTAGCTCAGTGGTGCTGCTGCCTGCCTCACAAGTGCTAGGATCCGAGTTCGATTCCCAGTACAAAAAAAGAAACGAAAAGTTTGTCCTAAAACTTTTGAAAATGAATGGCTTTCTCAAGATTGTCATTACCACACACTTAATCTTCCTCTGTAGTTAGGTAACAGATTTCTGCTAGATGTCTATGGTTTTAATATGATATGAATATTCAGTTGTGTGCTATACACTACTGGACTGGAATCATTTTTAAAATTAGTATGTGATACATAATTATCATCTTAGGAAACTGGTATATCTGCACATCACATCTTAGCCATTTTGATTTCCTCTCCTTACCCTCCAATCTCCTTCTATATCCATGAACCCAAATCATTCTGAGGAAATTACAGTACCTTCCTAATTTGAATATTCTTACAGTGTAGCTAAGACTGAATAATGGCATTTTCTTACACATTCCTCTCGAGTTTCAACTGTTTGGAAAAACTGTGATCAGTCATAGATTTCTGCTTTAAAAGCTGGGTTCAAATACGAGTAAGCCTGGTACAGTTGATGTTATAGTTTGCCTTTAGAAGTCCCCCAAAGCCTCAGGCACTTGTAGGTGGGGCTTTTTAGAGGTGGCTGGATCTAGGGTGTGTGATGCTGGGATTAAGGGTATATGATTACTAAATTAGTCCACTATTGGTTTGGTATAGTTCTGGGTGTGGATAATGGGAAGGTCCACCCTGGGTGTGGGCAGCTAGAAGAGATCAAAGGGAAAGGCAGATGTTTTGCTGCTGCTTTGTGCCCAACCTGAACTGTTTCTTCTCTGTCATCTACCATGCCTCCCTGCCTTGGAGCCAGCCAACTATGAACTAAAACCTCCATAAACTATGAGCTTCAATAAACCTTTCTTCTTTTAACTTTGGGTGTCAGGTATCTTGTCTCAGCAACAACAAAAGTACCTAAGATAGTAAAGATTTTTCTTTTTGCCTCATTATGTAGTCAGGCTGGCTTGCAACTTGTGATCTTCCTGACTCAGTTTCAGTGTGTTGGGATTACAGGGATGCACCACCACACTCCTAAAGAATTTTTACAATTTAAAATTTACCTATCTAAAACATCTTGCCTCTTAAGTACGTATTGCTCATTTGTTGCTTTTCTCCTCCCCAAAGAATATCACTGTTGAGTGGGAACAAATCACTGACAAAGAACAAACAAAAATTTTATTATTAATAAAACACTTTATTATAAACTTCTGCAGAATATAAACTGATTTTGTATCAAGATTCTTTGAAACTTTTAAAACTAAATGTAACACAAGCTTATTATTATAATGTATTCATTTTCCACTTACAATCTAGAAAATATACTGCAAGTTAACAAGAGGGAAAAAAAATCTGAACTGCTTCATAGAGAAAACCAATAAACATAAAAATACCCAACTCAAAGCTAAAACAAATTCAATCTAGAAACAGATTCTACAAAGCCTATTAATCCTCCAATTTAAAATAAATTATCTCTCAAAGGAAAATAATTCCACCATCATGGCAATTTGAGTAAACGAGAGCCACTCTCCTAGAGGGAAATTGTATTAAATGTAAGAAAAATGTAATAATATTTTTAGAAAATGAGGAAAAGCAATTTCCATGTTGGAGAGCAAGCATACTAAATACTTCATGTTCACCAGGCCTTTGTGAGAATTAAAGTACCTGTTCATATAAGTGATGTGAACATGAATATCACAAAACGAAGCTCCTTAACTATTTTTTTTTTCCAATTTAACCTCAGGAGAATCAACTGAAGAGGTTCAAAATCCAAGGATAGACTGGTCCCAAAGCATTTCTTCCTCTGTTCTTTCTTTGCCTTGTTCCTTTTTCTCTTTTCTACGCTTCTGAGAGGCTACATCTCTTTTTTTCTCCTTCCGATGCTTAAGCTTTTCTGTGCTGACCTGGGCAGTTTCTATTTCTACCTCAGTTTTTCTTCTTTGGACGCTCTCAGGTTCTTCTAAATGCACTTCCTCAGGATTTCTTTTCCTTTTATGCTTGGGCCGCTCCTTCTTTGGTTTTTCTTTGCCTTCCTCTGAATGCCTTCTTTTCTTCTGATGACTGGCTTGATGGGTACCAGTCCTGGATCCCGAGAAGAGGTGCTCAGGACCTCTAGATTCTACACTGGCTGAACCATGATTATATTCTTGCTTACTGAGGTTCAGGGGTGCTGGCTTTTCTGAGAAACAGTTCCCGGGGAACTGCCAGTAACTCAGAGACTCTAGTCTTGGCCTATTGTCATAAGTTGGGAACCGCTGAGGAAACCGGTTTTCTGTCTGTGAGGTATTACGTGATCTTGGGTAGGTTTGGATGGTTCCAGATGGGAGTCTTTGATCAAACATTCTATACCTGGGTCTGGAATCAACTTCTTCCCTGTACCCACAGCTTTCCAAACAGTCCTCTCTCATCTTTCTGAAACAAGTCTTTGGCTCTAAACCTCTGGCTTTCTGCACTTTAATATAATCTTCAAGTTCGTCTTGAAAAGAGTCATATGACTTTGAATGCTTCATTAGGTTGACATAAAGGAATTCTCTGCAGGGAAGATGGGGAGAAAAGCCAAAATAATACTAATTATTTTGTTCTGAATTATTTCCTTTGTTCTTCAAAAGACCTTCAAAAATAAAGAGGCCAAATTAAAACCTACATTAGTGTGAAGTTAACTCTTTTGACAACATATGCCAAAAACATCAGGATGGTCCAATATCTCCCAGGGCATTCACAAATAACTATATCCTTCGATAGAGTAGGAGGAAGAGGGTAAGGAGCTGACACAAAGGAAAGAAGATGCTGTTGTACAGCTAAGGTGTACAGTGAGGTTTGAATGAGAACCACACATCTGTAAAGAGTGGTCTGATCTGGATATTTACATAATTTCTAAAGTTCTGAAAAATTTTCTTAAAAAGTTCTGATCAATAAACTTGTTGTATATCATTTTCTAAGAGAACCATAAAAAAGTAACTTGAGCTTCAAAATCTTCAGTTTACTCAAACAAAATAAACAAACTCACTTACCTGACTATAGTACTGTAAGGCTTAATAATAAAAGGATATTTGTAAAATGATTTGGGAATTTAGAAATTAGAAATTCAGCTCTGAGCTGAAAACTTCTCTTAGGTATAGCGTATGAGGGATGTGAAAGACAAAGTTCTGTATCTTCTGTGTAGTGCTTGGATTTCATTCTACAGCTTCTGATTGGTTACAAAGCATTCTAGAACACCTCTGGTTTGTTCTCTCAAAGTACTGGTGAGAGGATAAGGGAGAAAATGGAGAGAAAGCTGGAAGAGATAAAACTGACATACAAAAAAGTTTCAGAAGTTCACAAATGCATCAGAGCTTTTGTCCGCTTGTTTGATTATTTTATGGAAGGGACAGATGGGCAGCACTCACTATTTCTGATACCCGTTCTTACCCCCACCTTCAATCTTGAATAAATAAATACAAATATAGCAGAAACTGCTGTAATAAACCACCCTACACACTTCTGGGGAATATTTTATCTCCAAAATTTAGTAGGCAGCACCAAAACCCATGCAGAAATAAGTCTTCACTTTAACAAAAGCAAGCCTGATATAGAACTCTAGATAATCAATGATTAACTATTTTTCTGGAAATCTGAAAAGGGATCTAAATGAGGCCTAAATTGACTAAAAAAATTAGTTGATTTTTAACTGAAATAGTATGAAAATTTGGATTAGGATAATAATAATGTAACAAACACTGAATTAAATATTGGCAAATATTTTAACAAACATGTCAGAAAGAACATATATAATTGGTAAAGATGGTGAAGATCATTAGCTATCATATAAATGTTAATTAAAATCACTATGAGTATCACCCCACATTCACCAGAATGAGTGAAATCATGAAGACCAACAATACTAGGTATTGGTAAGGATGTGATGCTATGGGAAGACTCACAGGTTGCTGGTAGTAATGTAAAATAGTATAAATAGTATAAAATAGTATAAATGCTTAAGAAAGCAGCTTGGCAGTTTTGTAAGAAGTTACATACACACTGACCTAGTTATACCAATCCTAGGTATTTACCCCAAAGAAAAGAAGATATATATACCTAGCCCAAGACTGGTACATGAATGTTCTTAGTAGTTTTATAATAGCCCCAGAAAGAAGGAAAATACCTCGAATTTCACTCAGTAGGTGAGTGGGTAAATCAAATGGTGGTGCAACTACACTAAGAAATAAATACTATCAGCATTAGTGAAAATAATCCCAATTGTCCATCAACTGATAAGTGACCAAACAAAATGTGGTAATTTATATAACAGAATACTATCCAGCGGTAAAAAAGTAATGAAGTACTGATAAACAGTACAAAACAGATGAACCCTGAAGACATTACGCTAAGTAAAAGAAGATAGTCTCAAAGACCATAGATGGCACAGGTATGAATAAGGATAGGATAGAAACCTTACCTTTGTCAATCTGAGGACTTGGTGGAGAAATCTGATCATATTTATCTAGTACTTGCTTCACTTTTTCAGCATGAACTTTCCCCAAATAGTGAGACTGTAGAATAATCAGGGAGCTAAAAATCATGATGCAGAGATTACAAAATTTATTTTTGTCCAATACTCTACTCCCATTCACATGAAATCAAGCATAATCCTGTTTTGAAGATTAATTCAAAGTTTATAACTACACAACACAGGCCAATCACTTCAAAATCACAAAATCCGTCTTCCTTTTATTTTGCTTCCTATAAATCTGAAAATGAAGCCGTGTGTGTGTGTGTGTGTGTGTGTGTGTGTGTGTGTGTGCGCGCGCGCGCGTAGTACCTAGTTCTTTGGTATCCTAGATATCATAGTATCACAGTTAAGAGATCCAATAGCTCATTCAGGTCTCAGAATATGACAGGAACACTGTGGGAAAAATTATTGTAATGTAGGGTGCTAAAGACTGCTCTTTCTCCAGGATACCAGTATGTAGGAAAGATGATACAGAATGAGAAGCCACATCATATAAAGGGAAAGAATACCAGACAGGGAGTCTGATCTCATCTATAAGCTTAGATATGTCTGGCACTAGGTAGGGAGACATTATACCTTTTAACTCTAGCCTTCTATAATTCTAAGCCTCTTTCAAAAAAGGGAGAAGCGGGCCGGGGATTTAGCTCAGTGGGTTTGGTGGCCTGTGTTGCAAGCACAAAGACCCGAGTTTAATCCCAGGTACCAAAAAAAAAAGGGAGAAGCTGGATGTGGTGGTACACACCTGTAATCCCAGCACTCCAGAGGCTGAGGCAGGAGGATTGCTGTGAGTTCGAGACCAACCTGGGCTACACAGTGAGTTCCAGGTCAGTCTCAACTACAGAGTGAGACCCTGTCCAAAAAAAGGAGAAGTTGAGAGTAAGATTGCTGCATATTAATGTTTGTAATCTTCAGCTACTCCAAGAGAAGCCTCTGGGCAGGGTTCTAGTATCTTCTGATTTGTATCAATATTTTTCCAGCTCAAACTTTATGTCACTTGTTTTCTTTCTTTCTTCCTCACCATCCCTATCATACTAGAGATAGGCTCAAGAGCTTTCAAACTAAGCTATAGCCCCAGCCCTTTTTAAATTTCAAGACAGGGTCTCACTACGTCACAGGTTGTCCAGGCTGGGTTTAAACTCATGATCTTCCTGCCTCAGCCTTTCAGAGGGCTGGGATTACAGTTGCACACCACCAAGCCTGTCTTCTCTTATATTTTCTGTAAGAACTAAGGATATAGTGGTTTTCTGATATAATGGAAGACATCGGGAAAAGAAAATGAGTTTCAAAGCTATAAAGACCTGAGCTTAACTCCTAATTCTCCGAATGTAAGTCATTTCTCTTTGTCAGTATCCTCTTCCATTAAAAGAATAATGTATTCCAACACAGGGTTCTTGTAAGGGTTAAATTAAGATGACACACATGACATTTACCTGCTATATTGAAAAACTTCAGTAGGACAAATTTCCTTCATTTTCAACCTACCTCATAATGTAAAATCTTTTATTAAAACTGTAGCACTACTCCACAGATGCCTTTTATATAAAGCACCTGTAAAAAGTTCAGTCTTTCTTCATTCAATACAGTATCTATGGAGAAAATGCAGATAAGACACATCACACTAAACATTTAAAATATTTTCAACTAATAGTATTATCTTATATACCATCTCAAATCCTCATCTCCTGAGTGCTTACAATACTACAGTAATTGCTTTCTGCTCATTAGAATGGCAATATGAGAACCTTCAGTAATTTTCTAATATTTAATATGGTACCTTATTCTTAGTCCAGAAAATACCATTTTGAAAGTAGTTACTGCAGCACTAGCAGGAGAATATGGAAAAGAAAATATAGTACTTTTTTTTTTTTTGGTGGTGGTATTGGGGGTTGACCCAGGGTTTTCCCACTGAGCTACATTCCTAGTCCTTTTAAATTTATCTTGAGGTAGGGTCTCACTAAGTTATTGAGATGCGTTGCCTGGGCTTGGACTTGTGATACTCCTGCCTCAGTATGCTAGCTTGCTGGGATGACAGGTGTGCGCTACCACAGTACAATTTAGGATGGTCAGTGACTCTGGTGACAGTAAATACCATTATACACCTTTGGATATTTGAAAATCATGTGCGCATTAAACCTATACAGACTTTTTTCCATGTCATTGTTTCCTAAACAACATAATTTAACATCTATTTGCATAGCACTGTTAGGTATTACAAGTAAATGACAGATGATCTGAACTATATGGAAGAGTGGGTGTAGATCATATGCAAATATAACCCATTTTATGTAAGGGACTTTAGCATCTTTAATTTGGTATCTGCAGGTAACTAATCCCCTATAGATACTGAAAGATAACTGTACATTACCGTCTTTTGAGTATCACATAGAAGCCATACATGGTTCTCCCTTTCTTGTGGTAGATAATATTCTTCTATAGTTGGTACTAATGTGACCACATGAGTTTCATTTAAAAGGCTAGACAAGATCCTCAAAGCTATGGTGATATTTATACGTCAACTTTAACTAAGTTTCTGTCATCATAGTAAATAATCTATGCCCAAATTACTACATTTACATTTGAGGTCTATACTTATCTGAAGTTCCCCAAAAGCTGGCCACAGTGGCACACACCTGTAAACCCAGTATTTTGGGATGCTGAGGCAGGAAAAGTCACATGTTCAAGCTCAGCCCAGGCAATTTAGTGAGACCCCATCTCAAAATTAATGTATATTTTTTAAAGGGCTGAAGATGTAGCTCAGTGTGTGGGCCCTGTGTTTAACCCTTAGTATCAGGGAGGAGGGGAGAGAAACAAAGTTCCCAATAGCTGAAATATATTCATTTTTTTGTCTTGCATATATAGTCCATTCTGGACTTGAACTCATGGTGAGCCTCCTGCCTTAATCTACTTGAGCACTGGGATTACTGGCATGTGCCTCTCCTACACCTGGCAAATTTGTTTTATGGAAGTTTACGGGTTTTTAGGTAGGACACTATGGTTTCTCTCTCGAAGAGCACGGGATGGAATCATAATCCTGAATGCAGCAGTACTGAGAGGCAGGGCCCATTGGAAATGTTCACTACATGGGTGGCTCCTTCACTGATGCATTCATGCCTATGCTGAGAAGGCCACGCACTTCAACTTTGATCCCCACTGCCATGGGAAATGCAGAAAGGTCCTTGCCAGATGCTGATGCCTTCATCCACGAATTCCTAGCCTCAAGAAGAGATTGAGAGGGACAATCTCTTTTGTACATAAATTACCTAGCTGTGGTACTGTTATAGCAACACAAAATGGACTAAAACATATGCCAATCAGGTAACATCAAAACTATGCAGCTGAGTTGGAATCACATGTAATGCCATGAAGACACATTTATGATGTATGAATGGAAAAAACAAGATAGCTACATGCCTATAAAAAATCCAGCTTTAGTCTAAACCCAAAATATACAGGAAAAATTGCCAGGTGTGGTGGTACATGCTTGAAATTCCAGCACTGAGAGGCTGAGGTAGGAGGATTGTGAGTTTGAGGCCAGCCTGAACTATACAGGGAGACCATGTCTCCAAAGAAAAAAAAAAAACCCAACATATATACAAGCATAAACGAAATATGTATACATGCATCTCCGGTAAGGAAGGAGCTAGTGCGGCTGGCCTAGAATCCATTTACTTCCTTTCCGGGGAGAGGGAAGACAGGTGACATCCAGACCTGAGCCAAGAGCCTCTATGTGCCATGAAGGAGAGATCTCATTTTTAAAATTCTTTTATTAAGGTGCCCTTGGCTAAGGGCTGCTGATAGTAATAGACTCTAAATCTATGAGGCATAGCTCACATTACATAAGCTGCACCTTCCTGGGGTGAAATCTGGAGGTGATTCACAATTTACTGTGGGAAGCACTCCTGTCAACCTCACCTAGAAATCTTTATTATCTTGGGTCAGAGCTACATGTGACATGGGAAAATGCTCTACAAGGAGCCACCTTTCACATGCTAACACTTCTCCACTTCATTTGAGGCTCTCAATTGCCTGTACACTTGAAATAATTACTAAACTTTGCTACTTTGTTACTGTAAAAAGTCCAGTCTTCATTCAATACAATATCTATGAAGAAAATGGAGATAAGACACATCACACTAAACATTTAAGGTATTTACTAGGTCATGTGGCTGATTCATATGAATTTGATTTGATAGTCCAATCTTGTGTTGGCTAAATTTTTATAGGAAAAAAAAAATCTGAAAAGATATACACTAAACAATAGAGTTGGGAAAACATTTAACATTTGCTCATTGTACATGTCTGTATCATTTTAATTTTTGAAAAAAATATGACTTTGTAGTTAAAAACTCCGTAGCTGCCAGTCATGGTGGCACACATCTGTAATCCTAGCAATCAGGAGGGTAAGGCAGGAGGATCACCACAAGTTCACGGCCAGCCTCTCAAACAAAACTAAAAAAAAAAAAATCCATAAATATTTGTTACACCGAGTATCTTCAAACTAAGCTTGAGGTCAGTGTACTTTAAAAAAATTTGCTTCAGCTGGTCTGACAGCATACATCTGTAATACCAGCACTTGGGAGGTTGAGATAAGAGGATCATGGCAGTTCAAAGCCAGCCTAGATTAATGTCTCAAAAAAAAAAGTTTTGCTTAAAAATATTGTGCTCAAGATCATGACTATAAGCCAGAAATATTTTAGAATCTGTTAAATTAAAAAAATATATCTAAATTATTTGAGTTGTTTTAAAATACATAATTTGCATTTGACTCTAAAGTCAGCTAGGTAAATTACTAAGGTTTTCAGAACATCAACTCAGAATTAATACACACTGTCTATGGTGATACACTATTAATCTTTAAGACAGGCAAGGTTTCACCATGTTTCCCAGGCTGGCCTAGAATACACAGGTTCAAGCAGTTTTCCTGCCACAGTCTCCCAAGTAGCTAGGATTTGGGAGCTACTTCAAATAAATTCAGGCTTCAAAGTAGTTTTAATGGTCTCAATATAATTAAAACACACACACACACACAAACACGGTCCGATAAGTAGTTCAGGCTGGCCTTGAACTCATATATAGCCTATTTTCCCCTCAGACTCAGGGTCCTGCCTCAGTCTGAGTGCTAGAATTAAAGATGTGCCACCACACCTGGGTTGTCTGTGTGTGTGTGGTACTGGAACTCAAATCCAGGACTTCATACATGCTAGGTAAATATTCCACTACTTAGCTACACGTCCTGGGCGTGTAGTATTTTCCTGGGGATGTCTATGCAGTCCAGGCTGGCCTAAAACTTATCATCTTCCTGGTTCAGCCTTCCAAATACTAGGGTTACAAGTGTATACCATCATGCTAAGTTTCTATTGAGATTTTGAAAGTGAGAATTGTGATATATCTGAGCACAATAATCCTTTGGTAACTTCTGGAGGAATCTTCTAATGGCTTAAAAAGAAGATACTGATATTGGTTAAGTATCAAGCTATATTTTTCTTCTTGTAGCACACGCTGGCTTCAAACTTGTGATCATCCTGCCTTAGCCTCCTGAGTAGTGGGGATACAGGAATGTGTCACCATGCCCAGCTATTAACTACCTTAAAAAACCCAATGTTAAGTCCTAAGTGTTTCAGATAGTGTAATATACCATATATTTAGTATTTGCCATGTCACAGTTACCTGAACTGCTAATGAAGGATACTTACCTGAAATAGTGACAAAATGTAATTTTTTAGTTAAGTATTATATTTTCATAATCTCAACCATAACTTGGTAGAGATTTCATTACTCTTAGAATGTTATCTGATGGCAATCAAAAGGCAGTTTCATGGTTCAGGAATTATAGTCCCTAATATAAAGCAAGACTGGGGGAGAATATCAACACAGGACCACAAAAGCAGCTGTTTTAAAGCTATAAGCAGTTAGTGCAGGATTCCTCAACCTTGAACTCTACTGACATTTTGGGTAGGATTCTATTTGTGTTTGTGTGTTGTTGTCTCAAATTTTAGGATGTTTGTGACATCTCTGTCCTACACCAAATAGATGAGAGTAGCACATATGCTCCCTCACCATGTCCCTCCCTACTTGGTGGTGACAAGGGAAAATGTCTCCAGTGCCTCTAGTGTGCTCTGTGGGAGCATCCTTAACTGAAAGCCACTGGACTAGTCCCAATAATCCACCCAATGGATGACAAAACTGAAGTCTAGGAAGTGTGGGACATACTAGGGTCATACAGCTAGTGGAGAGATGAGCATTAGAACCTATCTCTAGTCGTTTTTCATCTAGTATTCCTTTTTTGGTATCAGGGATTCACTCAGGTCCTTGTGCTTACGAGGCTGGCAGTGGAACCACTGAGCTAAATCCCTGGCCCCTCTAGTATTCTCATTCTACTAACTTGAAGTTGTATAAAAGTTATTGCCAGCACTGTATGAGCCGCCATCTTTAAAAGTCTGCACATATTCAAAGTCATTGCAAAAAAACCTCCAAATATCAAGTCTGGCAAAAGCTGTTTTTCTATGAAGAGTGTTTTCAAATCTTCCTATAAGCTGGCCATGGGAACCATGTAGAACTGTAGCCTTGACTCCTATAAGCTGCTAAGGCATACTTGGTGATAAGCAGGAAGTTTAGTATAAAAGCAAAAGAAGAAAAGATTTTATTTTTTATCTCAGAACAATGAATGATACTTATCCTCTAGGCTACCCGAAGACACTCATTTGGTTGCAATCAATTTCTAATGAACTTTATTATATGTTTTATAGTACTGAGGACTAAATCCAGGGCCTTTGCACATACACCCCTAGCCCTCTCTGTTTTGAGAGAGGGTCTTACTAAGTTGTCCAGACTGGGCTGGAATTTGTGAACCTCCTGCCTCAGCCTCCCAGAATACTTAAGATTGTGTCTGCCACCACACCAGCAAGAAATTATTTTTTATAAGGTTATTATATTTATGAGTTCCTCTCCTAGAAAAATGTAAATTAGTCTGTATTTTGGCTAACATCCTTTACTCTACAGATAAAAACAAAAACAAGCAAAACCAGAACACAAGAAAGCAAATACTAAAAATTGCAAAATTAAATGTGTGAATGCATTACAGATATCTAAGGGGAAATCAAGTGCCATAATTTAAAATAATCTCTACAACTGTTTTAAAGCCTTATCTGCAAGTTCCCAATAGCCAGGCAATTTGCAAGTACACAGTACTTCTAAGAACTCAAATCTCTTAGCTTGGGATGGTCCAGAAAAGGCTGTGTTATGGGAAATGTGTTGGTGAGAACTGTAAAAATTCTCCAAAACTCTGTACAGCGACTTAACCACCATTGAACATGGCCTCTAGGAGTCGATGGCCAGGTCTCTGGGATAATTTAGCAACTCCCCTCCTGCTTTGAATTCTGGTTTGGAAAAGCTCAGGGCAGTCAGAAGAATTTATTGTTTGTTATAGCCGACACCTGATGACAGGCTCCTGCCCTCACCTGTTTCTGGTTTTCAGACAGGCTCTTGCTATGTAGTTTAGGCTGGTCTTGAACTCACTATGTAGCCCAGACTGGTCTTGAACTTGTCCTGATCCTGTCACTTCAGTCTCCCAAGTGCTGGGATTACAGGCGTGCGCCACCACACATGGCTACATGGCCTCACCTGTTTCTTGTGCTGAGTACTGAACCTCATGCATGGTAAGCAAGAGAGAAGTCTACCACTGACCGTCATGTCCAAAGCCACCTGTTTTAAAAAGCATTTACTAAAAAGGGTTTACAACTGTAAATCTTTCCTACATCTTTTTGATGTTTTTAGTGCTGGGGACAGAACCCAGGATCTTCCATGAGCTGGGAGTACTCTACCACTGAGCTACATCCCAGCCCTCTTTCCTATACCACTCTGGAATGTCTTTCTCCCAGTCTGTGTGGGAGGGCAGCAGCTTAACCTGATAACTTCCAGCCATCAGACAGCTGGCCTACTTGTCTCTACAATTACTAAACCCTGGTGATTATTCACCTCCCTGACTCACTGGGCTCTCCCTTACCCTTTCTTAAAGCATTCTCCTTTCAAAGGCCCAATCACCTTTTAACATATCCGAATAAAGTTCAACTTTTTTCCCTACTGTCTGTAGTGAAGAAATAAATTGCTTTCACTGTTCTAATGTTCACCTTTACTTCTCTTCCTGGCAGATACACATTAAAACTCAGACCACTACTGAGATGGGCTTGTAATCTTAGTAATTTATCTTAGCGTCACATCCTCAAAAAATCTAGGGAAGGCACACCCGTGAAATCCCAAAACTATGGGAGGCTAAGACAGGAGGATCGCCAAGTTGGGGTCCAGCCTGGACAACTTAGCAAGATTGTCTCAAAATTGAAAAAAATAAAGAAAAAGAAAAGGGCTGGGGATGTAGCTCATTGGGAAGGGCCTGGGTTCAATCCGGAGTAGGGAAAGGGGACGCTAGGAAAACTAAAGTGACACCCTAAACCTCACCTGTTCCTGGGAAGACCTCTGCAACTTTAAAGCTCCCAAGCTACTTCCTACAACAGCCCTCCCCTTTCCTAACTCTATTTCTAAATATCCTACCGTGAAATCGCTACTCCCCAGGATGCTGAATTTCACTCCCACAGTCTGGGCTCTTCTCCCCTATTTCTGCCTTAGATTTTCGGGGTTTGTTCACCGGCCCCCCTCTCCCTTCCCTGACGCCCCAGGGGCGCAGACCCTGCCTGCCCGCCCTTCTCCAGTCCGAGGCC